ACATTAATGCAAAATGTCTTTTTAATTCCATCACGACAGTTCTTATTGGAGCTCACATGTCTCATGTCAAAATGAATAAAAAAATGACAAATTAATATAATATCTATTTCCTTGTTCCAATAAAACACCAACAATCATATGACACGAGAAGCTGAATGGCTAAAACACAGGCTGACTCAATACCTGACCTCGAAGGGTTTTTCAGTTGATGCTGATGGAGATCTATTCTATCTCACCCTCGTGTGTCCTCCCATACCATGTTGATTAACAAATGGTTCAAAGGTTAGTTTATCCAATGTAGGTTGATAATGGTTAACACAAAGTTGACCAGGTCAACGACCCCGTCTACCTACACCCGTCATCCTATCAACAGCACCTCCAGGAATCTGTAGTTTGGAATTTGTACTACAGCATGTTTTCACTAACGTCCCCCCGCAAAAAGAGCAAGGTTTGTTTAACATATTTGCACACCTATACCACAGAAAAATATAACACTGATCACCACATATTAACAGCTAATTTTAAAATGTAATTTTCACGATCTCTTCAGATAAAATAAGATAGGGGTAAAAGCTGAAAGAAACGACAACATCAGATTTCCTTGCTGTTCTGATGTCATTAAATGAGAAAGACATGACAAAAACAAGAACATCTTGTGCATTTTGCTGAGGTGGATGAATTTATCACTAACAAACAGTATTTTTTAGACTTGCACCGATTAATCGGCAGTGCTCGGAATCGGGCCGGTTTTCACGTGATCGGCCATGACCTGTGACCGGCCGGTCAGTCTAAAATATGCCGATTTAAAACGCTGGTCAAATTTCCGCCCGCCGCATGATTGACATCGTGAAGGAGAGAAGGAGAAAGTTGTTAATTGTCCGTGTTAAACTTACTGCTGCACTGTGCCGCTTGAAACTGACAAGGCGTGTGTCCGCATGCCGAAGTTGCGCGTGTCCGCGTGCTTACTGGCGGGTGCCTCCCAAAGAATTTTCCACAGGAGATATTTTTACTTTTTTGTCTATTCAAGAAATTACCCACAAATGCTCTACACCAAGAATTATTATTTTTATTTATGTTTGTCTTTTTACTTATTTACTTTAATACTGTACCTGAAGTAATATCTGAGCAAAAAGGAAAATGTTTCTTAACCTGTGTCACTGTTTTTGTTTGTTTGTTTGAGATGATTATTGAAAAGCTGATTGTATCTTGGTTAAAATGTTCTAATAAAAGGAAAGACAGAAAATATTGCAATATCTTGTGTGCTGTAAAGTGGTTTGAAAAAAATGACATCGGTCCAAACACTCTGCAAATTGGAAATCGGGATCGGCCCAAAAAATTTTAATCGGTGCAAGTCTATTTATTGTTTTATCATTGTCTGAACATGAACAGAAAGACCCAGGTCATACCTTATGTTGTCTATCCAGCAGTCTATGGCCACAGGGACCAGCAGCTCCAGGTTGAGCCACAGAGTGAAGAAGGTGTCAGTCTTTTTGTAGCAGATGTAATGGACCACACTGGGTTTATCCAGCTTCGCCTCCAACTGGTTTCCTAAATCCCCTGGAACTGCAATGAAGCCACAGTAGCAATGAGTTGCATATCAGCTTCATCACTGTCACAGCAAGATTGTCCTAAATAACTGATGACTAGGGCTGGGCGATATGACCAAAATCTCATATCCCGATATAGGTCATTTCATATCCCGATAACGATACCTATCCCGATATAGCACATTTTAATCCAATGAATAAAAAGTTGCATAACAGCCCAAAGCAATATGGTTGTCATGTTACCAGATTTTTGAAGTTTGATACATACTAGTACAAAAAAATGATATCCTATACTAGTGGTGTAAGAAAATATCGATACGTTGAAATATTGCGATATTTCGTTTTGCAATACTATATCGATTCTCAAAAGTACTATATTGATATTTAATCAGTAGTTTTAATGCAAACATTTCTGGCAGTGGTTATTTTGTGTGTTGTATTTAACCCTCCAACCACTAGTTCTGACAGTATGAAAATACACTGTTTACACAGGTTATATACCTATAACAGCATGGAGTGTTCTTTATACCATGAGTTTTCCATAAATTAGATTCTTTTCTTTTCATCTCTGTATCGTGATATGTATTGTATCCCTAGATTCTTGCCAATACACACCCCTATTCAATACCTCTTTCAATACAAGCGCAAAAAACGTCCCAGGCACATAAAAAAGGATATTTTTTTCAAATGCAAGTTGAAGACCATCTGATTTTCTTTCCGAATGTTTCATCTGTGCAGCCTTAGGTTGAAAATCTAATTGTAGATCTGTTCTGTTTTGTTTATTTAGATTGGTACCTTCGTAAGTGTAAAATTAACGGAGACTGTATTGTTTTACACACAAATCAAAAACGTGTCCAAATATCGATACTTTTGACAACCTTAAAACAATGTATGCTCATGTGCGAGGCAATTTCTCATGATGGATGTCATACAGTAAATGCATACAATTTTAAAAAAAACTTCAAAAAAAGACTGACAGCTAGTGGAAATTTTTAACATCACTGACTTGTTTTAAGGGCCTGTGAAACTAATTATACCTTTTAGCCTCATCAACGTTTGTTCAACTGTAAAGATTGCCCAACATGTTTAGACAGAATTTTGTAAAAATGTGTCTAAATGCCAAAAAAAAAGAAAAGAAAAAAGGAAAAAGGTATAATTTGTCTGATGTTTATGGAAATAAATGGTAGATAACCTGAGGTAATATTTCTTGAAATCACATAGTCAGCACTGTCAAAATGAAAACTCACTCAACAATATTTTGTCTAAGTGTTATTTTTTTCAGAAATGTTTTCATTTGAGCTTTTCTTTTGATAAAACAGCACCAAATCTCAGAATGAGCCAGCATGTTTATCCACTACTATGGCTCCATGTTTGCAGTAACAGTCACAGCTTAGAAAATGTGTTGCTTCAGATTGTATTCTCTAACAGTGAGTTCTGAATTAGTGAATGGTCTGTGTTTCTGCCTCCTTCAGCTGCTAGTTTTGCATTCTGTCGCACTTACAAATTAGATGAACAGGCCCTACTGGTTGCCTCACTGTCCGTTTAACACACAATTACAGAAACTAAACACAGGCTTTCGTCTAGAACTGTCATGTTGTACTGTTTGTGGTTCTTTGGAGGGATCAGTTTGAGTGTCAATAGTCATTTAAAGGTTTGTGCAATAGCTGTTTGCTCCTACTGTACTATTAATAAAATAAATCACAGGACAGTAGCATCTAACTGAAGATAGATGGAAAGTAAGGAAACATGTTTTCCTAATGCCACATTGATGTGTGTTTTATAACACCAATCCATTGTCTTACATGACTAAGTGATATACAAATAGTCATTCTGAGGGAGATAAGTCACCTTTACCTTCACAATTATTACTATTATTGGTATAAACACATACATACTACATGCATGGACACAATGGCTGTTAAACCACAAGCACAAATAAAACAGCAAGGGATCACTGTAGGTCAAATAGCTACACAGGCTCTTATCACACACATATGTAGGCAGACAGAGGCTGTGGTTGTAATTTAGCCAAACACAGATAAGATTCCTCTGAACCCAAGACCCTTTCAATAACTGAGTGGAGGGGGAAGACATGTACATGACAGGGGCTGTAAACCTGGGTTATGATTTGAAATATACATAAAAGTGACACACATTATTGTATGATTAAACAGAGTCTAGAAAGGTCTAGGCATGCAGACCTCCCTCAGTCTCCTGAGGAGCTGATAGGCTGCAGTGCTGAGAGTCATGCTGTGTTCCAGCTCAGTCATATGACCAGAGTCCAGCTCGGACTGTAAACAATCAACCGTAAACTGCCCTCACTGAGCACAAGAACACAATGTACAGGATGTATAAGGACAAAACGGTTTAAATGTTTACCAATCTCACAAATGCATACCAACACTGGTGTGGTATTACGTTCTTTTTCTGCTAATCATCGGCGATAACCGAGTTCTTTTCCCTTACAATACACAGCCAAACTCCGTTCGCGAATATAGCAACGTAAAACGCCTTCCTTAAAAGCGAAATTAAATCCCCAACAAACGATGACTTCACACATTTTCGGGATCGACCGGAACTTATGTTCGATACAGCACAAACGTAATACTCAAAACTGCTCTTCTTCAAATAAAATGCGACATATAACCCGGCTCTCTTCGATGAGTCGTTGGGTATTATGCTGGAGGAAGATAATGAGACCAACAGGCCAAACATTAACAAAAGTTTAAATTTACACGACGTATATATTAAATTACATAAATATTTGCTAGCCGAATTGAAGACTGCCAAACAGTAATTTTAAAGGTGTTGAAATACACTTTAAGCTTCATAAAACATTTGAGAGAAGCAAGGAAGAGCTTAAATTGATGATATTTTGAATGGAGTTTGGCCTATCTTGAATATCGCCCTCCGTAGCTAGCTGTTGAGGATGGCAGTGAGTTGCGCAATTGTTTAGCAACAGACAGTGAGCTGAACAAGACTGGAAACACTGAAGACAACACTTACTGAGGACCACGGGAGGTTTCGCTAGCTGACAAGGCTTGTCGCCGGGACATTTCTACAACGGTCTCCCGCTGCTCCGAGCCGACAACAGCAACAATAACAAACCGACTTGGAGCAGCGAAGAGAGGGCGGTTATCCGGTGCCAAGCCGCCATGGCTCCTGATGTCTCATAGCCAAGAGCGCATGATGGTCGCCTCCTCGGTGTGCAGCTCTGCAGGGGTGGTGGTTTGATATTAAGAGCCTTCAGACAAGATCTATCACAATGTGCCCGATCAGGGAAGAAGGTGGTGATCACGAGGTCCTGATGACAGAGCAATTCACCCGGCAACGCAACTCCAGCAGCAATCAAGTCAAAAGTCATCGACCGCAGATGTAGTCCGACGGACAGGAGAGCTAAAGTTAAACATTTGTACTGGATCTGAACTAATGATTTGGCACACGTGACTTTTGTGAAATTAGATTCTTTATTATAAGTGGAAACAACCACCGTTGGCAAGTATTCAAAACAGTGTACATTCACATCATTACTTTAATATCTGTGTATAAGCTACTATAAGTATATGAGCCTGAGGAAAAAAAATGATCTTATCATAATTTTAAAAATAGATTTTACACATATAAGTCTGTCTAAACATATATAAATCCTAAGGAATATTACAGTCACATCATACACAATAAAAACAGGCTATTGGTGAGGTCACTATAACCTATAATAATCTTTAATCTAATTATTAGTCACACTCTAGCTACCCATATAAAATGACAAATATATCATTGTGTGTGTGTGTGTGTGTGTGTGTGTGTGTGTGCACTTAAGACATAATACTGATGTGATGAGTCATTAATCACCCATCAAAAGTAAACAAAGCAGGTTTGTCTATTTTTGTACAGATCTATGTAACAGGAATTCCAGTTGCCTGAATAGACTGTGCACAGACTACAACATTAAATGAACCATCCTAAAAATCCCTAATACTACGTTTGTAATTATTGTAAGTCGATCACCAGCAAACATAAGGAAGACAACAAACTACACAGCTTGGATATAGACATATACAGATTAGGGTCAAACCTGTGGAGCTAGAACAGTGACGGTAAGCTTTGGCACTGATAATTAAATATGTCACTGAAAAAGGAAATGATGGCACTGAGAAAAGTTCCACTGAAACACAAAACACAGGCATCAAAATGGTTTTATATTTCGATTTGTTTTACATTCTGACGTGGTTTTCAGCTACAATTCATTCAGGGTTAGATTACTTGCAGGTCCAGATTGGTTTGGAAGTGGGTTTGGCGGGGTGTTGATAAAGGTTGGACTTATGTGGAATGTGTTTCTTGCTTGACACTTGAACAGACTCAAAAGTCAGCAATATACAAATCCAGCACTCCATGTGTTTTTGTTTTTTAAACTCTTAAATGCTGCTGTCTGCTATATGGGTTCAAATCGGATGTCAATCTCTTTGGGTGTCTCTGATTTGCCCTCCAGGATTTGCTGGATTAGGTTGAGCACCCTCTCGTGGAACACTATGTCCAGGTGGGCCAGCCCTCGAAACTCTGTGACATGGACGGGCTTGTCCTGCTGTCCCACCCAGCGTTTGCAAAGACTCATGCTGAAGCTGTCCACTGTGTCATCCCCGTCGGCGTAAACAAAGTCCACTGGGTCTGAGTTGGGAAACTCCTCGTCGTAAATGTATGTCACGGGAGTTGGAAGCCCCACACCATACATGCACCACACCTCCACACCAGGTGGGTGGAGATCACTAGTAAGATTCTTGGTGTCCTCCCACATGTGCCTGGAACCAACAAGAGGATAATGTGATTGTAAAATAATACAAGGATGACATGGTTGTCCATAGTGAGATAATCAGGAATGAATACACTTAAAATTGAGGTGGATAATGATACATGTTTTGGCTCATCATGGCTGTATAGTAACATTAAAGCTGTTAGTTACCAGCCATCCTCATAATCGATGTCTGTGAAGAGGCGCTGGTAGTCCTGGTGGGTGTAGTTAACAGTTGGTGTGGAGATGAAGACGTGGTCCTTTGGCCAGACATCCTCAGACGGCAGCATCCAGGGATTAGTTGTTGTCATCCTCTGCTCCTCGCGGATCTTGATGGTGGAAATCATCGGGATGCCATCGTTTTCACCTGCAGTGAACAGCAAGTCAAAAATATGGGAGGGTTTTAAATCACAGTTACAGGTGCAATATGAGAAGCGAGAATGTACAGGTTCAAAAATGAAATAATTAGATATTTTAATGTTTCACAAAGTAGCACTGCCTGTATTGTATTGTATTTTCGGTACTTAGTCATTACCTGATGTCAGGACTCTAAGTGGTTTAACAGCACCCCCCCATGGAGCTGCCAGAGAAATGAAGCCTCTGATGTATTTGTCCTTCCATGCCTGAGGCTGGTGGTTGAGGAAGTAGAGGACGTAGTGGCTGCCCATGCTGTGTCCCAGCAGGTAGACAGGCTCCTGGTACTGGTCGTACATCTCCTCAGTCAGGTCCCGCAGCCTTACAAAATACTCTTCATTCTCATCTGCAGGAGGGAAACAACACAATGAGCTAAAACGGGCTAAAAAACTAAGAAGAGTTGAGTTAGGTTGATAGTTCCCTGTGGGTTTGACCTCTTTCACACTACATAGAGTTGTTTCAATACCTATTAAATCTGCACTAATCAGTCTTTTACTGCATCAGATGACAGTTTGTTATGTGAAAGGTCTCACAGCTCATTGTTTTGCTTTTACTGAACACAGCTTTAGTGTTTTGGTCCAGTCTCACCACCCTAATCAACTTTGTTTTCAGTCACAACAGACAATTGTTTTCTGATAAACCCACTGTTCGTTACCTTCCCAGCACCAAAAGGCAGACAGACAGACAACATTAGTGATGAGCTGGTGAATATCGTGAAGCATTTAGCTGCTAAAGCATCATACATTTTCTTCAGGAGTTAGACAAGGTCAAGAGAGAAAGAATTTAAGACTTGGTTGGAAAGCTAATGTTGCTCTGTGATTGCTGGATGTTTACATAAGAAACAGGTTGCTAACATGACAATAACATCACAATAACTTCAGGGCTCTAAATATATATTATATTTTTCTAAATCACGCACAAAAAATATTTTTACATGCACCAAATTCTTTTTTACTGCAGCGTATTTGTTCTTCCTTATCCACACTTCTTCACAGCTGCATCTGACCAAAATTACAGTAATATACAGCGAAACGACTTCAAATGCTTCTCAGCAAGCCTAATACAGAAATCTTTTTTGAAATCATATTAGGGCTTCTTTGGTGACTTATTTTCTTCTATTTTGTATGAATATTTATTCATATGATGAATAAATAAATATTACAGACTAAATATTGACCTCTACACTTCAATTACCAACTTCCCATGATTACATCAGCTTTCAGCACTACAGCACTAAAATCCCATATGAGGAGGTGTATCCATTGTAGTGATACATTTAAATATTAAGTTTCACTGGTCACTGGGTCATATTACATGGAAGTTATTAATAAAACTACCATTATTTTCTATTAAAATACTTATGCAAAATAAATGAACTACACATTAATAATGAAAGTAAGTGTGCTACATGAGACCAATTAAGTATAATCAAGTCAGCATGAAGGCATTGAAAACACATTAGCACTGTATTATTTAAACAATAGGCTAATACACTGATGATGCATAAATCATGCCCCAGCAGTTAAAAGGAGGGGCTGGGAGGTTTCCACCACCATGGAGCCAGTTTCATTTCAGTTCCTGCACTTAATTTCGAACTGTTCCGAGCATTTCGACCCAAAATAAATTGGTTTCAGAACCAAAAAGTTGGTTCTCTGATGGAACCATACAATAGAGGGTTTTGTCTTGACCTAAGGACCAAGTGAAAAGCTTAGGTTAGGTTAGGCTATACAAATTACCACCACAAAAAGTCTGTAAAGTCAGGTTCAGCATGATGGCGCTCTGTAGTCTAATTTAGCCACTTGTTAGCACCTTTTTTAAGACACACAAAGGCTTCAAAATTCACGGGTGGGTGATTCACTGACATTTTTTAAGTTGGAGTGAATGTCTGTCGAGTATCCAACTCAAAACTAACTTCACCGTGGTGCTGCGGCCCTGGTGGGCTTGACTGCAGTGTTTTATGGCGCTGCTCTTGCGCTCCACTCCATGTGCTGTCAGTGTCCTCTTTTTGGTCTGTCATGTTGGCAGTTATAAATTTGTTTTCACTGCCTCAGACAACATATGTGAGGCACACATAGACCGTGACATGGGAGCATGAGAAAAGTGTCGATTGGTCTTACTGTCAATCCATGAGTCTGCAGCTGTACCAAGTTAGCTCTGAATGTAGAGCTGGAAATTACATTTACAGCTCAAATGATATGTGCTCTATTGTGCATATGCACGTGGTTTATCAAGCCCTTAACTTTATAAAGTTATAATACAGTATGTCAATGTTGTGTTTAGAGCTTGTTCTGCTGCCCCCTGTTGGCCAAAAAATCTACTGCTGCAGCTTTAATATCAATAATATCAATCAGTGAGCTTTAATCAGTTCTGTATGAAAGAGGCCTTTAATTGTCTCATGTATTTTTGTTCTCTCATCTAATGTTTTCACTTAATTCTGTAGTTCCACCCATTTAGGGAAAGTGAGCCCAAATACAAACTACATAGGACATTATCACTTTAAAAAGACAAGCTGAGTTGGTCTGCAGGCTCCTTTTCCCTTGCTGACGTACTTTTATTCTTCCAAGCCAACACATGCTAGATGTACTGCACAAAGCTCGTTCAACCAACCAGTTACAGTCAGAGTGTGTGTGAGGGTGCATGTGTAGATTTGCTCCTTACTAGGAGCATATCTCCAATCATACGGCGCTCCTCGGACTGTCTCATTGCGGATGTATCCCACGTTGACCAAATGTTGCACCATGGTGTAAAAATAACCTGCAAAAAACAACAGCAGACTCAATCAATACTAGATGTCTCAATCAACTTTACTTGGTAGAAAGTGGCTGAGCTACAAGTGCATGCAAGATATTTTTTAATTAAGACATCATGTAGGAATTAAGGACTGATCTATACAACAAATTTCTCGGTGTCATTGCTTTCATTAAATATTTTAACATTTCTGTATCACTCGACAAAGAAAAGCATGAAAAGGTTGCAGGATCTTCAAACCCCCAATCCACCAGTTCAGATGTATTTTTCTCACCAGCCAGTTTGTTATTGTCAAGAAACTCAATGGGATATGTCTGCCCAAAACCTGGCACCCGCACCTGCACCCCTGGTGAGTTGGATGATAGCCGAGTCGTCCTGTTGTAAACAAGTCTGGGACACGCAAATGTTATGTCAGTCTAGTCGGGCAAAAACACAAATGTGACTCTAATCATTTCTGAAAGGGAACAAAAATATTGTGTTTGTGTCATATGTAACACAGGAGAAGGCAGGTCAGTCAGTGTTACCTAATGTTATCAATCCAGCAGTCTACACCTATAGGCATGAACATGTTGAGGTCAATCCACAGGGGGAACCAGTGTTCGGTTTTCTTGTAGCACAACCAGTGGACCAATGTCGGCTTGTCTATTTTAGCTTCCAGACGGTTCCCCAAGTTCCCTGGCACTGGACACACATACACATCACATTAGTGAATCACATGGCAAGGTTAGCACTGAAAGGTTCAGTATACTGTCAACCTGTTCTCATTCCCAGGTCGTCAAAAACTGACACTTTCTCACGCACCTCAGCGTATAACACTGACACTGTGGGCACCCTTTGGCGTCTCTTTGAGACTGACTGTGCTTTACTACAATATAAACCCATCCACTGATATGTAAATCCAATAGTCAGTGCTGTTTTAATGTAAAGTTATGCAATTTACATCTCTCTGTCATGCACTTACTTTACTCGTGATGCATCAGCAAAACGTTACATACATATTTTAACACAAAACATGATGTTTTTTCTAAATATAAGTTGTTGTATAAACCCAACCGTGACCATCTGACAACTTTAACCACATGTTAGGAGTTTCACCCGGGAGACAGCTGTGCATCACATACAGATGGGGCATGAGAAAGTATCGGTATTTGATGACCTGGGATGCAGGGGAAACTAAATATAACCTGGAAATTACACTTTAATTCTAATCAATGACATTTTCACATAAAGTAGTGCAGAAAAATGAATCAAGGCAGAAAATGAAGCGCTTGACGCTCACAGTTTCCTGGGGGAGGACTCCAAACCCCCCCTTTCATATGTGTGAGCCCCCAAAGTTGAAACGAAACCTACGCCCTTGCCTGGGAGCATCTGTATTTTAAAACCTGGGATGAGAATGCCTTGATACTGTAGGGCAGTGGTTCCCGACTTGGGAGTGGCAATGGATCTCAAGATTAATCTGGGGTGTCACAAGATGTTTATTGAAATAGGAAAAGAAGACATTGTTTTGCTACATTAATTCAAATACATGTTTGGACTCTAGAATGTGTGTTCTTTTGTGAAATATTGCAGATGTATTCCTCTTCAGGCCTCTAACAAGTCTTTAAACTGAAAAGTTTAAAGGGGAAAATCACTCTTTGGTAAACACATGCAAGCTGTGACAAGGGTCACAAGTAGACTTTGCCTCATTTTTAGGAGTCACTAGCTCACTTGTAATTGAATGGTCTTATTTGCACCTTACACTGTATAAGAGAGAAACAATTGGGAGGGACTACAATTTAAACTCAACTCAAAAAGGTTTGGGACAGCTCCGCAGGTAGGATATATAAATGAATGACATACAATCTGATCTTTGTTCCCTTTGGAACACTCCATGACATAACTGTGTGGGTTTTTAGTTGTAGTTAGTTTTATTTTAAAGCTCACTCCTCATGTGTCATGTCTTGTTTTACTTCCTGCCTTTGTGACTGATTGCCCCAGGCTGATTTGTTTCACCTGTCTCTCATTAGCCTTGCTGTCACCTGTCTCTCTTGTATTACGTCTATGTTTTCCCTGATTTATTGACTGTGTTTGCATGCACAAAATATTCAGAATCTTGCCATTACTCCTAAAAACACATCATTCCCACTAAGCTGCTTATGTGGTCAATGGAAAGTAATATTAAATTAATATTCCTGTATACATGCAGGTGCTTAATCCAACTAATGTACACTAACATGTTTTTTATCATTTCAAATTATGGACAAAAGGGACAGCTGTTACTTGTGCTGGGATTTTTTCAAAGTTTTTCACCTCTGACAGTCTTTTGATATTTGGGCATATACAAAAACTTGATGATGTCCAAGTCTTTCATGTCGTTTAAAACAGGTGTGTTTCTCCTTCTGACCAGAAATGTGGGCTTTTCTTTTGGGCATGTATCTCCACCCCAGCCTTGCATACTGATGGCTAGTGTATTTGTGTAAAATATATCAGAGCTGACCGTAAGAAGGCAAGATGCTGCATGTGGTAAACTGAGCTAAAAACCCCAACTGGGGCACTGGTGGCTTAGTGGTAGAGCAGGCGCCCCATGTACAAGGCTGTTGCCGCAGCGGTCCGGGTTCGACTCCAGCCTGTGGCCCTTTGCTGCATGTATCTCCCTCTCTCTACCCCTTCATACTTGTCTGTCCTATCCATTAAAGGCTTAAAAGCCCCAAAAAATATCTTTAAAAAAAACAACTGAGATGCAAATGCGCTGTACACAACTTTACAGTTAAAACCAACAATAATACCAGCATATCCCACATGTAATTTTAAATCTAAGTCTTATTTCGGAATATCCACACATAATATGGTTTCATTAAATTAAAAATATTGTCATATTCTGAATAATAGTGGAATATTAGTGTGCATGCAAACATACCCAGTGTCAGATTGTCTGCATTCCTGGCTCATGTCCCTTGTCTGGATTTCCTCTCTGTGTTCATTATGTCATTCTGGTTTGTTCTAAATTTAGTTTTCATGTTTTTTTCATTTGTACTTTAATTTTACCTCAGCATGCTCCCTTTAGTTTTTGTTGCCTGTCTTTTGTCTTTTAGAATCAGCGTTATGTTACTGAAGCTCGCCGTCTGTTCCTTCAACCTACCTGTTTTGAACTGTGAAATGCAACAAACTATATCTAAAGATGCAGGCCAATATTCACCATGACACCTGCACTGTACATTTTTTTCACAGTATCTTGCAGAATGCGTGACATTACTGCACAGTGGATTAAAAAAAATGTGCATAGTAAAATGTTTGTGCTGACTAAGCAGTGGGCTTTCTCTGTGTTTTGTCAGATATTTATTTGCAAGTGATTTCTCAACTGTTCAAAATGTGGAAACCCTCAGCTCGGAGCTCCTCTGCAGCTGCATGGATCCCAGTTTGGACAATGACCTTTTGACTACAAACAAAGAGTCATAAGCAGTGGGAAGTGAAAATGTCCTGCAGCGTAATCTTAAAACGGACAACAGAATCTGATTCCTGGTAATGGCAGCGTACACAAAAACCTACTGTCTTGAATAACAAATTAGTTTAATCTGTGACTAATGTGATACTTTGCACACAGAGTCAGTGTCAAACATACTGAGTTGCATGATGACAGCAAAGAGGGACGCATAAAATTCTGCTTGAAACTTCCTATAACACCTAATACACTATGTGTATAAGGTGAAGAAGATGTTTTTACTACACTACATCACAATCAAGGGGCTATAATACATTCTTTTACTGTCTTTTGATGTCACAGACAAAGTGCTATTTGGTGACAATTTAATATTATGTAGTCATTTTACAGCTTAATAACACTAACAGATTTTCCTGTATTATGAGAGTTGCTCACACACTTATACAACTATGTGTCACACCTTTTTCATACTGATGTCCTTACAGTCACGGTGACACTACAGCAATATCTATCCACTTACCAGAAGCAGAAAACATTCAAGATTCATCTGTTCGCAACACATTGCAATCAAATACAGACAGAAAACCATATGCTACCTCATCAAGAAGAGTTCGGCTGAACTGGATCGTTTTCTGTCATTTTCATTTACCTGAGAAAACTGTCCTGAGCCTGAATGAAGAGTTAGCAGAAGTACTGAGTCCTGCTACATCACAGTAAGAGGTGTTGGGGAACTCTTCTCTAAATCTTTACAGTAACTATTGTGTAACTGCTACATTTTTTGCCAGAGTGATGGGAACTGAGCAGTTTGACGCAGTTGCTTCAGCTGTTTTGGAGTTAGAAAAAACGTCTTAATTTACCCGACTTCATAACTAATTAGTCCTTGTTACTCTACTACGGACAGTTTTGTGCAAAAGATGAATTTAGAAGTCTATCGAAGTTTGATCTAAGCCATAGTCAAAGTTTATCTGTGTAAAGTACCCAAAATCCAATGTCTTCCAAACATCTCATATCAACGTCATCTTGACTTAGAATATCGACTTTTAGTAGTAACCCAACAAGCGCAAAATATAACGTTAACATCCACACAACGTGAAATTCTAACATCGTTGGACATTTAAAATATCATCAACATGATTTTCATTCCAAACAAGATTTAACGTCTGTCCGTCGTAAGAGTGCAACGTCTTTCTGACATCATATAGACGTCTGGTGCCAGCTTACTTTACAGAAACATTGCTCTTATCTAATGAGGCTTTAAGCATCATCGCGACAAAGTTGTAAAGAAACCCTTCCCTAACGCTCCTAAAAGTGTAATGTCTGAGAGGAAGAAAAGGTCAGAGGGACATACATTATGTGTCTTGACCAAAAGTTGGTTAAGAGCCAAATTCATGGCCTTTACAACACCATACAGAGTGAAACCCCTGCAGCTGAAGTATAGAGAGCTGGTAATGAGCATGACAGCTCGATCACGTTTTGGCCCTTTGTGTCTAAAAAGCCTGAGTATGAGCGAGATAAGAAGGACACAAACAGTTAAATAGGCAGGGTCAAATGTACAGAGTACAGTTTACAAGACATCAATATACACACAGTCAGATAGATAGACAGATAGATAGATAGATAGATAGATAGATAGATAGGTAGGTAGATAGATGGAAAATTAAGCTGCTTGGCCTTTATTAACCCCTTGTTTCTCCTACCATCAGGTTTGTAATACCTTAATACCTTATTTAGGTATATCCAACAAGTATGTACAGAGCCAAAATTAAGGATTTATACTTGACACATGACCTCAAGATGAGAAAATAAAGCAAGGTCAACATTAAGGTCCTCAGTATGTCAGTTAGAACTGCAATTTAGTGGTGATTTTTCAATTAAATTAGCACAAATCACATGACATACACTTTGCATGGATCTAAAAGGACCCCTGTTGCCTGCTTTTCCCACTAGGTAATCAAGCTGTGGTCCTTAAAGACAGATTTTTACATTCTGGATATCCAGAACTGCACAGGTAGTCTAAGACTAAATTAACCATAACACCTCCGAGGCTTACCTATAATGAGTGGTGGAGTGCTGTTGCTTGGTACTCTGGCTTTGGCGTTGGGCGGGAAGACAATGTTGATGATCCAGAAAGCTGAGGAGTGCTGCAGCCCCAGCAGAACTACAACCAGCAGCACCGAGCAGAGGTGTCCTGCGGATCCCATGGTTCTCTCAGACAGCTGTGGTGCTGCACAGGGCTTTGTCTCGGTGTGTGTGTGTATGTGTGTGTGTGTGTGTGTGTGTGTGTGTGAGTGTGTGTGTGTGCTGCTGGAGGGAGAAACCGTTACATTACCTGGACAACTGTAAAACTATCAAACTACCCTGAGGCACCGTGTTTACTCTAAAGATGATTAATCAAAGTGCAATAAGCCCACGCGCGCCGCACACACGGATGGAAGCCTCAGGCAGGCAGGCACGGGGACAGATGAAACGTGTAGGCTACAGTTTACCCGTTGCCCTATTGATTCGTCCCAGTCACACGTATTTATTTACACAACAGAATGTAAATGATTGACAAAGAGCTTTGACCGGAGAGCATCATTGTGGCCCAAACATGTCTCTAGAAAACCAAGTTGAATTTAAGAAGCTTATATTTTTCTCTTGAATCAATATCCAGCAGTTAGGAGTGTCTTTCGCTAACGTTTCGCTTTAAATGAACGCTGAAGACATACCGTACAGTTTAAGTTTATTAAAACAGACTTTAAATTCTGTAGTAAAACATTTACATGAGATAACTTACTTCAGAGGCAGAGCTCCCCCCTCTCTTCACTTCACTTCACTTCACCTCACTCCACTTCACACTCCGCAGAGTCCAGCTGAGTCTCCGGTCAGACTGATTCCCGTCAACCGGTGCTGCATTCACTGTCCTTGTAAACTCCACCACTATAAAACTTTTCTGGGCCAAGTCTAAGTTATCATGTCATTATAATATACAATAACACTTTGACTTTTCTAATCTTGTTTCACAAACCAACGTACATACTTTATTTTAATCTGCATAGCCCAATTTGGTAGAAAGTTGAAACCTGAAATTTAAATTACAACATTTGAGACAGTACTGTAACGCAGCATGTTAAAACGACATCATGCTTTGCTGTTACCATGGGTACAGAGTGGCGACAGCGCTACAGGCTTCATTAGCACAGCAACTGCTTCTCCTATTATAATCAGTTATTTATTATCTACTTATTTATTTGTTTTTATATATATTTATTTTTGTTTCACGAGGTTCCTGGCAGAAAAAAAACATTGCATGTAAGTTCCGTTAAAACATTTATTATCTGCTACTTCAACTGAATGTGACCATGATGCACTCTATTTACTTCCTGCGCGTCTCACGTGCACGCAGCCACTCACAGCCATACGCGATAGTAAAACTGCTGTATGTGAGGTTACTACAGGACATTAACTTACGGACATGTTTGGACACGGTAAGTAGGTCACATGATCATTGCCTAACATCTTTCCCCCTGGAACTTATCCCATTCTATCATAAATACGATAATGTTTATGGTAGATGTTCCTAATGATGTTTGGCCTGGAAATAGACCTAGAACATACACAGATTCCTAAAGCATAATACACGTTTTTAAATGGTACATAGTATAAATAAATATTTAGAATATTCTCTGTAGCCTTTGGTTATTGAATGCATGGATTGATTACTGAATGGGTCAATCAGGCCCAGGCCCAGAGGCCCAAAGTGTAAGCCCCCCCTCAGGCTTTTGTAAATTAACATGTACCAAGCAGGAAGAGACTTAAAAAGACCACAAAGACACATAAAAGAACTACAAAGAGACACAAAACTACTAAAAACAGTCACAAAATGGCAAAAAAGAGACAAAATGACCACAAAGAAATGCAAAGAAACTCCATAAAGACACAAAATGACTAAGAAGAGACACAAAATGACCTCAAAGAAACACCAAACGACCACAAAGAGATGCAAAGAAACTACAAAGAGACACAAAACAACCACAAAAAAATGTAATGGAACTACAAAGAGACACCCTTGGTGATGTGCATGGTGCACTATGATGTCAGATATAGCCTTGGCTGACAGAAGAACAACAGGACTTATCTGGTAAAGTGAAAACACTTGGCTGTGTTTACCATGCAGGCACTTATATCACCCTTTCCCTCAATGGAGGCTAAAAATCGACTTAAATGGATTTGAAAAATACAATGTTGTGAAAACACTTTAAAAGGACATTTTCTGTTGTTTAAATCTATCAACATATCTTCCTTTTGCATTTCGTCACTCAGTTTGTCTTAGAGATGTAACAATAACTAAAACATAGGATACAAAATACTCTTTGGGCAGCATATTTAGAAATGAGTTAATGTGTAAACTGGATCAAAAAGGGAAGTTTAATTTTATATACTGGCTTTTCTCACAAGCCCTCAACACATTACAATTTCCACAGCTGTTATTCAGTCCTAATATAGTCCTCTCCCAACCAGATGGTGAAATGAGACCCATATCATGGTTCATTTATGACCTGTTATTTGCTGTATTGTGATGCAATGTTGTAAATATTAATGTGAAAAATTACCCGTAAGTCACATGATCTCATTCAGAAGATAAAGGATTTTTTAATTTTTTAATTTTTTTTTTTTTTTTTTGCTTGTGATTGATTTTTACCAAAAGACAACTCTCCCTCCTGTAATGTCTGCAGGAGACTTGAAGAAGATGACGATCTTTCTGTCCTTTCTGATTTTGAAATTAACATCAATAGAACATATAAATGAAGAAGCTGAAAATGTCAGAAAGTTATAACTATAAAAAAGGGAAAAAAAAATCATAGTGCGAGAGATGCCACTAGAGGTCAGAAGAAAACCATTAATGAGTACATGTGTAACCTTTGGGCCCATAGTCAGAATAGTGTTATATACGACCCTATCAAATCAATTTGTATGTTGGAAGCAAGGAAGTAATATATAGTAATATAATATATATAATAATAATAATATAATATAATATATAGTGGTTATATTTTCAGCCATAAATCTCCATATATATGTATATATGTATACATATATATATATATATATATATATATGTATGTATATGTATGTTGGAACAATATACTTGTTGAGAGAGTTAAACACTACTCTAAGTAACTATCCCCAGTGAATAGAAGGAGCAGTGTTCGTGTGATTTGAACAACAACAACAAAAAAACTTACTCCGTAACTACAGGTGTTCCAGTAACTCCAGTATGGAGATCAATTTGTGTCAATATTATTAGTAGGGATGCACCGAATATTCGGTAACCGAATATATTTGGCCGAATATTGCAAAAAAACACACATTCGGTATGCGATGGAATAAGTTAAAAGCAAGGCCGAATAATAGCGGCGTGTTTTGATAACGCAATCAAACAGCGTGCTGTGACGGGCGGAGTAAAATGTCGGCAGTGTGGCGATCCGTCCTTCACCGCACTTGCATTTGCGACTAAAAATAGTTTTGAGCGAGCAAAACAGGCTTAAATCATTCTGCACGCTCTGCGAGCAGCCTACAGATTTCAACCAGCAGCAGAAACGAAAGGCGAATCCCACCGATTGTGGGTTGAACGGGGGTCACAGACACAGACAGTAATGTAATCCTGTCAATTACGGCGGCCATTGGCTCCCATAATGTCCTCTTCTTGGCGTGTGGACTGCCCAGAAGTATCTGAACAGCCGAGCCAGCCGAACACAGGTATGTGACGTGTCAGAGGAGAAACGAGCTGTTCGCGGCCCACAAACCTCACCGCACTTTAGGGACTGTTCTTTACTTATGAAGGGACTTGTCAGAGGAGGAGGGTGGCTGGTTGATTCTTATTTTATTTATTTATTTTATTTTGATCTCCCCATGTTCATCACTTATTGATGCTGTTTTTGAAGTATGAATAAGTCAATAAGTAATTTATTCCATTGAAATATCACTGATGTATTATAGAAAAGTGATTTATCTTTTTATAAATGACAAAAGGCACATCTGCCTCATTTTCGCTGTGGTATCCTGATACTACTCAGAACCATGATATTTTCATTGGTATCGCACAGTGGGTCCCAATTTTGGTACCGTGACAACACTAATCTGGAGGGGGTTCATCTGCAAAAGCTAATGAAATACTAAACAAGGATATTGGGTATTCGGTACTCGGTAATCAGCCAAGCGTTTAATATTTTCATTTCGGTGCATCCCTAATTATTAGTGTGAGGAGATCGACAATTGGTGTATAAATGTCTAATCTATAAACAGAAAACAACTTCCACAAATACAAAAAGAGATTTGTAAACTCACAAAACTATTTTGCAAATATATAACAGATCTGAAAATACACAAACAAATACAAAAACTGAAGGGAAAAAAAAAGACTCAGTGTGTGTAAAATACAAATCCTCAAGCGAAGACTTGAGATTCACAAATAAAAACTGGATTCAAAAATATCTGTTCTACAGTTATTAAGTTTAGGAAGATATTCACAAATGTTTGTCATTTATTTGTAATAAATTAAATGTATTCACAGACATTTTTTTTATTTATGGAATTTGTGTATTTGCAGATCCGTTTTTTATTTGCAAATTAGTTTTTAGATATTACAGATCTTTGTATTTGTTGAGGATGATTTATATTTACAGAGTTTACATTAACACACAGTTGTCAATCTGTTCACACAAATAATACTGAGACAAATCTATCTTTACATATGTGTTGAAACAATATACCTGTTGAGAGTGGTAAACACCACTCCTAAGTTTTCCCCAGTGAATAGAGGGAGGAGTGTTAATCTGATGCGAAAACAAAACTGCTACCAAGTAAATATAGATGTAGCAATGACTCAATGGGTGCAGAACATCAGACATAACTTGTGTAACTAACTTGATGTAACTATTTATTTGTCTAGGGGGTCTACTTGGTGGAGATAATTGTGATGGTCCTGGCACTGTAGTGTGTTGGAGAACCAGGTCATGTTGTACGCTCTGACTCCATTTCATATCTCCTGATGAATCCATGCCAGTCTTCTATTATAGCCTATTTTAGCCTATTCAAGCTGTTGATGAGACATTCCAGACAAAATAATTACAGGGTATCTCAATTAATTTTATACTTGGGTTAAAGTGAGGAAAAACTCGGCCAAAGTAGGTTCAATTGCAACTTGAGTTTTTTTTTTTGTTTTTTATTTTTTTGGTTAAGTCATCTTTATTGCAAAAAGTGGTTTACAGTTCAGATGTGACTTAAAAAGAAAGATAAATATAATAGTGAACGAACATATAGAATAAAAATAAGAACAAATGAAGCTTTGCCAGGGGAAACTTATAAGTTATTAAAAGGAGAAAGAGGACCATATGTTGACAGTTTTAACTGCCTTTCTGTTGTTGGAGCCAGAAATCAAATTAATATAATGTACAACTTCATGGAGAAAATATATAAAATTAGGTTTTTTACTGATGAATTTACATTTATGAAAGTGGAA